GGGGGGGGCAAGTAAGCCCTGCTGTCAGGCTTCGGTGAAACAGCTTCCCCCGTGGCAGTAAATAAGCAGATCAAATGAAAGGAAAGTGTTACCAGTTAGTTTCTTTAATAAACACAGCAAGAGGCAAAAGAAAGCATCTCCCTGGAATGGCAGTGCTCCCACTTAAGGTTCACTCCCACCACCATCCCTATTAATCTACGTCTCTCCTACTTCTTGTAATCTGAGTTTATACCCTCTGTGCTTTCTGTTCTGACACTTTCTGAGCTCTTTGTGACTTTGGAGAAGGGCGGTAGATGCTATCCAGAGACTGTGAATCTGTTAATCCTCTCTCTCCCAGTGTTTCTTGTCCAAGCTGCTCTCCATCCAGTATTTCCCAGCTTTTGCCTTCTGAACTATGCCCCTCTACAAACCACTGTTCCAAATCTATGCTCTCATCCTGCTTCTGGAAAGATTCAGGGGGAGGGGGTGGCTTCCACCATTCTTCTGTCGACATGCAGAGGGCCGGGAGGCCAGCTGGAAAGCCCCAGCTAGGCTGTTTCCATCCACCAGCCCATGGCAAAGACCATCACCTCTGCTCCGACCTAAATCAGCTACCCGGGCTTACTCAGCCAGGGCACACTATCAGCAGATTGAACTGCGCACACAGAATAGGCATAAGGCTTGTGGAAGCATACTACAACTACAGATTTATTAATCATAAATCAGGACAAAGAAACATGTTGTCTCTCTCTCATGTCATCTCAGAGAGAACAGCTAAAAGCAAAAGCAATACACAACGGAAGTTCCCAGCAAGCTGTGCTGGCATGTAAACAGGCTTGTGACACGTAACAGTTCCACACGTCTACTCCTTAAGGTGGAATGGAAATGTCAACATCTTCCTCAGTGCAGCCCTCCTTAGCACGGTCCCTGACATCTGCCCTCCAAACTGATCACAAGACACGGAGCATGGACACCATTTGAATGGCAATGCCCACCAACTTCGGGAGAGCAGCCCCCTCAAATATTTTTATTGGGGGGCAAAGACCCCTCTGTACAAAGGTAGATTTTACACCTGTCGCTCTGTCTGCTTTTGCCTCTGATCCCACCACTGGCAAGTGGCCCTCAGAAAGGGATCTTGAAGGTAAAGTGGCCCCAGACTGAAAAAGATTCTGCAGCCTGCTCTACATTATGAGTCATTTTATACCAGGGCTGTGCATGGACCCCTGGTCTGATTTGGGGCCTGACTGAGTGCTTCAGAGCGACTCCAAACTAATGTAGGATGACTTGAGGCTGACCAGACCGTGATCCAGGCTCCAAACTTATTTGGGGACCTTGTACTGTTTTGCAGCTGGCAGTGGAGAAAAGAAGATGTGCCTCTCCTCCTCCTCCTGGTCATATGCCTAATCAGAGTTTTAATCCCTAATTAAACATGCAGTTACGGGAGAAAGCAGGCAGCGGTGCATGCAGTCTGCCTGCCTCCATCCTCTGCTTGTTGCCAAACCACCTGCCACCCATTGTGAGAGCCCCATTCAAGGTTGACCCAGCCTGATTCAGGGCAATCTGGGGCTGTATCAACCCAATCCATCTGAGTGGTAGGTGAACCCAGTTTTGGTTGGGGGTCTAGGATCTGTTCAAATCCATTGTATGCCCCTATTTTATGCACCTCTACCAGGTTATCCACTAGTTGCTCCCCCCCCCTTAATGCTCCTTTCTTCATAAGGGAGTTGCTCCAGCCCCCAGATTGTTTTTTCTATAATATACATAATAATAATAATAATAATAATAATAATAATAATAATAATAATAATTTATTATTTGTACCCTGCTCATCTGGCTGGGTTTCCCCAGCCACTCTGGGTGGCTCCCAACAAAGATTAAAATACATTAAAATGTCACACATTAAAAACTTCCCTAAACAGGGAAAATCTAGTACTGTATCTTTGTTTCTCTTTATATGCAAGCTTGTTTGATGTAAAACAGTCTTGGCTACGAAGTAATAATAAAACATCTTGAGATGTGGCCACCAGGACCATGCACAATGTTCAATTAAGACATATTCTCCAACAATGGGGGGAAAGAGGATGAGCAACAATGATTAGCTTTTACCCCAAGGCAAGCTGAACATGCCTCATCAGTGTTTGGAAAGGCAAAAAAATGAATGATTCCTAGGATGGGTATCCATGCAGATTGCTCCATCAAGGACTCTGGAAGGACTGGCATAGCCTGATCGTCCCTGGCAATGACTGTTTATCATCATGCATCAAAGCCTTATGAATTGCACTCGGATGATGGTTATTTGCTCCACAATAGCTTTCTTCCTACCAATGGGGCTGTATTTATAATTAAAAATGGGCTGACCCTCTTCTTGTTTATTTTCATCACTCTCCAATCAGTGGGAGAAAATTAGCCCCCTGGGATGGTTCGCTTCATGGAGGCTCACGGTGTTATTTCAGCTGTGAAGGATGCTAATGAGCTAATATCAACTTTCCTGGTGGAAAATGCACATATGTCGCTTTAAAAATTTTGGCAAGCCCCCAGCGTTTCATCATTCGAGGCAAGGTCTATCACTGCGCTGTGCTGCAGAGAAGGAAATAATAATCCATCGTGGTCAAGCCTCCCTGAGGGATGGAAAAATCACACGGTCTTCCAATATGTCATGCAGAGTTCTACAGACTTGGAGCTCAGACAATGGAAAATTGCTGTTGGGCTGGTGTTCTGTAGTTTCCCAGTTGGCCAGCACAGGGCAACTGGAGGAAACCTACTTAGTAATATGAAGTAGTCCATAATGAAGGGATCAATTACGAAAACACTCAACCAGAGTTGGAAAGCTTTTGCAGTTTTGAGGGAAACCTTTCATGGGCTGCATACTCAGGGTGGAGCCTGAGGCAAAAATGGCTTGAGCAATTAATGCAGCATTCCTCCCCCCCCCCCGCCCGCCCCCCCCCCCCAAATATTAGGCTAGTTTCATCACACACCCCTCTCCAGCCTGGAGAGAAAATCAATGCAATGAAAATCAATGCAACCTGTGGCATGAAAATCAATGCAACCAAGATAACCTAAGCATAAGCAGAGTTCAAGGACCCATTCCAGCCAGGCAAAAACACACGAGGAAGGTTTGAGGCAGGGCTGGTGAGGGGTTCGGCTGGGAAGGCCTTATGGCCTGATTAGAGTCTTGAGGGCCAAATGGAGAATTCTGTGGGCAGTGGTGTGTGGTCAGTAGACTAGGGAGACCAGACTAATCTCCTAATTGTTCCTGGTAAATTAGAGTATTCAAGTATTAAAGCCTGGTGCCTCCTTCCTGCAACCCAGTGAGCTTCTGCCTGGCTTATGGAAGGAGGTGTGATGCTCACACATGTAACCTCATCCCCCATTCCCACCTCTGCTCTCCATGCATGTTGAACACAGGAAATACATGTAGTAAGGTAAAGGGAAGGGACTTGGTTGGCATTGTGGTCTAAACCACCGGGCCTCTTGGACTTGCCGATCAGAAGGTCAGCGTTTCGAATCCCTGCGATGGAGTGAACTGTTGCTCTGTCCTGCCAACCTAGCAGTTTGAAAGCATGCCAGTGCAAGTAAATAAATAGATACCACTGGGGCGGGGAGGAAAACGGCATTTCCATGCACTCTGGCTTCCATCACAGTGTTCCATTGTGCCAGAAGTGGTTTAGTCATGCTGCCCACATGACCTGAAAAGCTGTCTGTGGACAAACGCCGGCTCCTTCAGCCTGAAAGTGAGATGAGCACCAAAACCCCATCGTCACCTTTGACTGGGCTTAACCGTCCAGGGTTCCTTTACCTTTACCTTACCTATACATGTAATACAATAATAAGGTATGGATCTTAAATATGTACAACTAGATCAGTATAAGGCCACATTCGCACCATACTTTTGAAGAAATCTGATACCAAAGTGGTTTAACAACCTGTCCTTCTTCATGGGGATTCCCTCAGCCAGTTGTAGCTCTCTAAGGGCCATTGATAGCCCTCTCCTGCATGAATTTGTCTAATCCCCTTTTAAAGCCATTAAGGTGAACCACACTACTGTGGTAGTAAGTGCCATAGTTTAGCTAGTTCAACTGGTCTAGTTTATCAAACTAAAAACAAGCAGGCAGGCAGGCAGGCAGGCAGGCAGGCAGACAGACATGAAGTTGCAAACACTGAGCACAGGCCATGTTCCCTTATGAATTTCTACAGTAATGGAAATTTCTGTCTCACTCTTTTCATAGCCATGGGTGACACCAATAAGCTTAGTTTGAAAAATATATTTTTTTTCCATATGTGCAAGTCTTGAGCAGTTCGATACAACACACACAGACATGGTCTGATCACGTATTGATCTGCCGTGTGTAGTAGTTATGGGTGAGAATAATAATGCTTGACATTTATAGAAGAGCGAGGGAGACCTGCAAAAATATGTTCCCCTCCTAGTAGGAATGCTACCACTCAGGGTTTTATGCAACTTTCTGTGTTACATGAGGAACAGGCACCTCCATTTGAGGCAAATTTAAAAAGTAATAGCTGGCATATTAGTAGTTTTCTTGATGCATTCATTCAAAGCATTTGTGCTTTGCTTTCCAGTTGGAGAGGCTCCCAGAATGGCTTAAAAAACCAACAAAAACTAGTCCCTGGTTATAGGCTTACAAATCTAAAAAGTCATGGCACAAAAGGAAACTGAGATGGCAGGGGTAGAGGGAGAAGAAAGCAAACAAATTCAAGCACAACGTGCTTGATGTTACAAGCTTAGCCCTGCTTGGATGGAAGCAGGTTACTCACAGTTGAAATAAGAATCTAAGGCAGCCCCTGAGAAAAACCATGGAAGGGTCTATAATGTGGCCAGAAGCTGTTGACCTTGTAGGATGCTGCATGCAAATGAGACAAGAGGTGGAGACGCTGGGTCTGGAACCAGGCTACCTGTCCTGATTCTGCCAGTCTCCAGAAACATGTTCCAGAATCTCTTCTAGATTCTCAAATGCTAGACTGCATGGACTCAGGACCAGTGTCTGAACCTTAGTGGATCTTAAAGGAATGGCCATAGCTCCATGGTATAGCATCTACCTTGCACGCAGAAGGTCCCAGGTTCAATTTCTGACATTTCCCAGTACATATGGGAATGCTTCTTGCGTGAAACCCCAGAGAATCTCTGCCAGTCCGTGTAGGTAATACTGAGTTGGATGGACCAATGGCCTGACTCCATATAAGGCTTCTGCCTATGTTCCTTTGTAAGTAAGGTTCTTTTTCAGTGCAATTATGTCACAGTCTGAACCCATAAAGCCTCCACCTGATTCCTATTCTTTCCAACACTCTCATCATTGCAACATGCTTCAAGCAACACAGGGAATATGCATAGCCTTTGCTACAAAATACATGTTCAGAAATAAAATGTACAAGCAAATATCTGTAATGCTAAGCACTCTGTTTTGTTTGGGAATGAAATCTACCCAGAATTACACATATATTCTCATCTCATCTTCTCCACTTGTAACCTTTCTCACTCCTGCCACCACACTTACCAATGATTGCCTTAAGCCAGCAAAAATTAATTTCCAACCACTCTGTTATTTTGTGCATTTCTAAAATAAGCAGGAGTACGAGTTGTAAGGTTGTTCAGCTGTCATATCAATCACAATCTGCTCACAAAGACCAAGATAATCATTTTACGTTTTTGACATGGGAACAGTTGCTCCATATATTGGCCAGTGTGTGTGTGTGTGTGTGTGTGTGTGTGTGTGTGTGTTTCTACAGTCACGGTCTCATTTTCACAGAATGCCGTTCCCTCTCCCTCGAGGGTGGGGGCAAATTTACCACACCCTCCTCCCCTGGAAAGAAGGTGAGAGTTGGTTTGATTTCCATTCTCCTCCTGGGGCAAAGTTCTCAACTCGAGGTAATGCTTCCAAGTTAGTGGAGTTTGTATCCTGAGGCGTTTGTAACCTGAGGCGTTTGTAACTCGAGGTACCATTGTATTTACAATTAGCATTACCAACTATGTGAATTAATGTTAAACACATTATCACGACGTCGCTATAATAAATCTTAAATTATGTTCAAGTAGGAAGATCATCAACCCTGTATGCCAATCAGATTTTCTGTGTATTTATAGCCATTCTAATCCCTTAGTCATTAATTTTCCATGCTACAGTTCTGGGTGTAATTAAGAACAAAGTATTGTTGCACATGTGGCTGAGAAAATAACATGCTGATGTGATTGATTACATTTCTTTAAGCTGGGCATGCTTGACACTCACCAATGATAATTCATTCAAATGCTAAGTAATTAAACTTTTATGCAAGTAGATAAACTTCTAATGTGATCCTCATGTAAGCAGCATGTCAGAAACCTTGAAAGTGTTGTGCAGTCAGCCAGAGGAGGAAATCATATTATTCAATCCCCAGGCCACTTTCCCTGGAGAATTTCTAGAATTCAGAAATTGCCGAATACATTTATGGGAAGTGTGCCATAGCTACTCTTCGAGTTTTGAACTGCGTCAAAGAATTTTCCATTGGAAAGTAATGATGAACTCTTTCCAAAATTATGAGGTGAACCATAGGTTGGATTCCATGCTTTCAGGAAATGATCTCTAAGGAGAAGACAAAGTCGGAGAAGCTTTCAGCACAGGCCCAGACAACTCCTCAGACACCTCTAGACCATATAGAACCATAAGCAACCATTCTGACTTAGCACCTCTGAGGTGGTCATATTACACCAGGCATAGGTGAACTCGGTCCTCCAGATGTTTTGGGACTACAACTCCCATCATCCCTAGCTAACAGGACCAGTGGTCAGGGATGATGGGAATTGTAGTCTCAAAACATCTGGAGGGCTGTTTGCCTATGCCTGTATTACACTCCTCCTTGGAGCCAAAGGAATGCAGAATGAAAACTGAAATAGAGTCACAGTTTCTCTCAACCCCTTCTCACCACCAGCACCCAGAACCAATACATACTAAATTGAGCAAGGCCTCATTCAATCCAGAAGACCTTCATTTGAGAGGCACCCAGATTTAAAGCATCAGTGGTGAGTTCCAGGGTGCTGTTTGGCAGCATTTGAGCCTTTCCTGATTGCCTGCAAGTCTCCAGCCAGATCTCCACTTGGAGCTGTCCAAGGTCCTGCTTGAGCCTCAACACCTGCTGAAAACCCCTCTTAAGCTCACACCATCTGCGATCCCCACCACAACAGAACGAAACACAGAGTTTGGCAATGCCTTTATTTTAGAATCAACTAAAATACAACTAAAATCCAGAAGTAATTCCACAAAACAATTGAAGAAGGGACCATAGTGTAGTGGCAGAATATTTGCTCTAAATGCAGGTGGTCTGATGTTCAGTCCCCAGTATCTCCAGGTAGGACTGGGTGAGACCCTTGTCCGAAACCCTGGAAAGCCACTGCTAGTCAGTTTAGACAACCCTGAGCAAGATGGCTCAATGGTCTGACACAGTATAAGGAATTTCCTATGTCTCTAACAAATGATTCTCCCTCCCTCTCCCACTTTCTTGAATCTACTTTCTATTGATATAATTGGGTTCTCTTTAGAACCACACACACTGAGCTTTTGAAGACAGAGGGACTACCTTCTACTGATCTTAACACCCAAGAGGACCTGTAGGGAAGGAAGGGGTCTGAAATCTACTTAGCGCCACAATCATTTAGGGCTTTAACCACTCCCCGCCCCCAAAAATATTTGTTTTTTCAACTGAAAATTTTACATAAATCATAAAAACAAGATTCTAAGGAATCTCCTGGACTTCCACCCTCCCCTTTGTGGGTCCTACTATTAATCATTTCCTCCCGCATCCTTTATGATAGCTCATACCCTTTACCTCTTCCGTTATGTCCAGAATCAACCTTAAACTACAAGTGATATTCCAATCCTACTGACGATTTTAACTGTTATAAATTTTCCCCATTCCTTATAAAAAAAATTCGTCTTCCCAATTTCTGACTCTTCTGGTCATTTTAGCCATTTCAGCATAGTCCATTAACTTCATCTGCCATTCTTCTCTGGTAGGAACTTCATCTTCTTTCCATCTCTGGGCCATGCTTCAACCACTTTTATCACCTTGAATTGGGCCAATAAATGAATCAGCAACCAATGCAGCCGTTTCAAAATAGCAGTTATGTGATAGAAATAGGGGTTCTAAATGGAACCCAAGCCAGTCATCTGGCAGTTGCATTTGGTATGGGTCCTAGCAGGGAGAGGGAGAATAGGGACGCTTGCTCCTCAATGCAGAGTGAACTGGGGACCAAATCCTCCTTTGTAACTCAGAGCTAATTTGCACCAAGCTTAAGAGAGTCCCATGGACTGCAAGAAGATCAAACCTATCTATTCTTAAGGAAATCAGCCCTGAGTGCTCACTGGAAGGACGGATCCTGAAGCTGAGGCTCCAATACTTTGGCCACCTCATGAGAAGAGAAGACTCCCTGGAAAAGACCCTGATGTTGGGAAAGATTGAGGTCACAAGGAGAAGGGGATGACAGAGGACGAGATGGTTGGATAGTGTTCTCGAAGCTACCAGCATGAGTTTGACCAAGCTGCGGGAGGCAGTGGAAGACAGGAGTGCCTGGCGTGCTCTGGTCCATGGGGTCATGAAGAGTCGGACACGACTAAATGACTAAACAACAACAACAATAATAGGGGTGATGCCCATATGTATGGAACTGCAGTCTTCACGTGCTGATATCCTAACCCTTTAGCAGCACATCTACACACTTTCTGTAGCATCTACATCAGAGGCAGTATTTGTGATCTGCCGCACGACTGCACCTGTTTCATTCCATAAGCGCACTGACTTCAGGCACCAGATGTTTATACAGCATTCATTTTCTGAACTGACACCTGAATTATTTGATTGATTCAAGTGGTGTCTGAATTTCAGAAAATAATCAGGATTGTGTTGCACGGGGCGATACTGCAAAGGAAAGATTTAAGAAGAAGATACTTAAGCCCTCTCCATGGAGTTTTAGCTAGTGCAGATCCATTAAAATTAGATAAAATGAATATAGGAAGCTCACAGTTTGCCAATGACTGCAGTGACTTGGCTGTCCATGTTAATTACTGTCTGTGAAAGGATATATTTTCCAGAAATGTTGTAATATAATTAAGCAATTAGATGTCTCATGGAAACACCACACTCCCCGCAATATAATTTTTATCCCAAAGGCAGCAGTTTGGGGAGTGATTTCTTTCTTCTTTTAAATAATTGCTCCCACTGAGTTCTGGGGTGTGGGGGTTAAAGTAACCCCAATTGCATTTGGAGTTTGGCCAAAAACCCACCTGTCCAGGATCCATGACACAATGCTGACCCAGAAAGCTAAGAACTTGTTTGACAAAGACCTACACTGGTTCCCAGTACATTTCCGGGCACAATTCAAAGTGCTGGTGCTGACCTTTAAAGCCCTAAACGACCTCGGCCCAGTATACCTGAAGAAGCGTCTCCACCCCCATTATTCAGCCCAGGCACTAAGGTCCAGCTCCAAGGGCCTTCTGGTGGTTCCTTCCCTGCGAAAAGTGAGGTTACAGTAAGGTTACCAGGCGTCCCCGTTTCCGGGGGAGAGTCCCCAGATTTACAAATCAGTCCTCTGACGAAATCCATCTATTTAGTAGGAAGTTGGAAAATGTCCCCGGATTAATTGAAAAAAAATCTGGTAACCTTAGGTTACAGGAAACCAGGCAGAGGGCCTTCTCAGTAGTGGCGCCCGCCTTGTGGAACGCCCTCCCATCAGATGTCAAGGAAATAAACAACTATCTGACTTTTAGAAGACATCTGAAGGCAGCCCTGTTTAGGGAAGTTTTTAATGTTTGATCTTTTACCATGTTTGGTAAAGTTTTTAATGTTTGATCTTTTACTTTTACCATGTTTTTAATGTTGGGAGCGGCCCAGAGTGGCTGGGTATGGGTGGGGTATGAATAAATTAGTATTAATTAATAATAAACATTAATTAATTAATTAATTAATTTGCTGCAAGCAAGCCAGGCCAGAGTTCAAATTCTTACCAAGAATGGCACCAGAAAGTCAATGAAAAACCCAGCTTTGTTTATTCGTTCGTGGTTAGACAGCCTAGGCTCCCTCTAGAGCAGGGCTGGGGAGCCAGTGGCCTTCCTCATTCCTGGTCATTGGCCATGTTGCATGGGATGGATGGAAGTTGTCAATAGGCAGGGAGTTCCAACGACCAAATTGCTTACAAGGGTGGGATGCGTATTATGTGGTACCTAGAACAGCACCAGCCCCACATATTGAAGTGGATAAAGCCCCTACATTAACCTCTCTGTTTTTTGCCCCCTAAGTGCAACAACACACAGGAATGGGCACCGTGGAACAATGATTCACAGGGAATGCAAAAAGAGGAGACAGGCTGTCTTGGTGGGTCTCAACATTATGCTTTTAAATGCATCCATTGCCCTTCAGGTGCACCCTATTAAAAGAGAGTGAACAATAAACAAAAGCTTAATGATTCCGTTTTCGCATTTAAACAATGCCAGGGTTATAAATGTTTCTGTTACACGGCCAAAGGGAAACTTTGAAATTGCTACCTTTTACTGTTATGGACTTAACTGTCTTCCCTGCTGTTATCATCTGCTCTTCCGACTTTATCCCAAGGTAAGTCTCCATCAAAGCTAATAAATGAGGGCTGGGTGGGCATCTTCCCCCAACAGTTGTCTTCTACTCCTGGACACAGCAGTCGTTTCTTATGCCAAAACACCCTACAATTCACAGGTGCATCTTTATTTAAACCTACACATCAAATAAGCACACTAAACACCATTGAGGTTCAGGGGGGATTAAACTGACCATGTACAGTGGTACCTCAGGTTACAGATGCTTCAGGTTACAGATGCTTCAGGTTACAGACTCCGCTAACCCAGAAATAGTACCTCGGATTAAGAACTTTGCTTCAGGATGAGAACAGAAATCGTGCAGCAGCAGCCGGAGGCCCCATTAGCTAAAGTGGTACCTCAGGTTAAGAACAGTTTCAGGTTAAGAACAGACCTCTGGAACAAATTACAGTGGTACCTCGGGTTAAGTACTTAATTCGTTCCGGAGGTCTGTACTTAACCTGAAACTGTTCTTAACCTGAAGCACCACTTTAGCTAATGGGGTCTCCTGCTGCTGCCGCGCCTCCAGAGCACGATTTCTGTTCTCAACCTGAAGCAAAGTTCTTAACCTGAAGCACTATTTCAGGGTTAGCGGAGTCTGTAACCTGAAGCGTATGTAACCCGAGGTACCACTGTAAGTTCTTAACCCAAGGTACCACTGTAGTAGGAACGCTAACAAGACCAGCCAATAATGTCAAAACCAGTTGTCAAGACTACACCATTGAATTTTATTTGACTTTCTAACTGACAGGTCCCCAGAAAGGGTCGTTGTCATTACATATGGGAGAGAAATTTGATTCAGTTTGCATTTAAAGGTGAATCTACCTGATTCTCAGTTTCCAAATCAATACGTGAACTCAGGAATCTTGTAGAATTCGCACTTCTCTGAATTTTGCAGTTGCAGAAAAATTCCCAGGGATGGGGAGCCTCAGGCCAAGGGACCAGATGTACCCTTCAGGCATCTCTGTCAGAACTTGTCTGCACCCTGCCATGAGACACAACCTTCACCAGCCCTGCTTTGTACCTTTCTTGACTCTTTTTTATCCTGGCTGGAATGTTTCCTTAAGCTCTGCTCAAGTTTCTTGCTTGACTGGGTGGACAACAGAGAGGGATCCGTGAATGCAAAGAAACTCGCCTACTGCACAAAGGTAAGAACTGCAGGACCACAATACCTCAAGGACTGCCTCTTTCCATATGAACCTACCCAGACCCTGTGATCATCTTCTGAGGCCCTTCTTCGTGTGCCTCCTCCTCAAGAGGTCTGGAGGGTGGCAACAAGAGAACGGGGCCTTCTCTGCAGTGGCTCCCCATTTGTGGAATGCTCTCCCCAAGGAGGTCCAGCTGGCACCTTCATTATACACCTTCAGGTGCCAGGCAGAAATGTTCCTCTTTAACCAGGCCTGTGGCTGATTGACATCCCATGCCCTTTTAAAATGTGTTGGGGAGGGGGGATTACTGGTTGTTTTTGTTTTTGTATCTATTATGTATTTCATGTTTTTTTAGGGATGCCATTTCAGAAAGCGAAAGTCTGGACACAAAAGTTGTTCTTGCTGCTGATGTTGTTGTTTCAAAATCTCATTTGTGCTATTTTCTCTGGAATTCGTCAAAGTCGTCACTTCTGACATGGATTGCCATATGGCTGGATTCCCCAAACATTTTGGTGATTTCCACCTGGATGCTGTTCCCGATGGCCGAATCCTGCGTTTGTCCAGGAAATTCCAGATGTATGGCAACCCTATGTTTTTATACTGTGATTTTATGTTGTAACTGCCCTGAAGGTATAGGGCAGTATATGAATTTAATAAGCAAACAAACACGTTCTTTGCTCCACCCACTTTTGCCCCTCTGGCTCAGCCAGACATGTGGCCCCTAGATGGGGCCCCCAAATGGGCATGTGGCCCCCAGCACTTGGGCTGGGAAGGTTTCTCCACCCTTGCCCTATCCCTAGTCCATCACTTGGACCACTGCATAACACTGGTTCTTACATCTATTCAAATCATGTCTACCTTCCTAAGCAGTATTATCAGAAAGGGCTGGCGGAGGCACTCCTTGGAACCTTAACGACACCACAATCTCCTACCGGTATCTCCATCATCTAAACAGTAGACCGAAGGACTCACGTTCACACCTCATTTGCTAGCTGCATTTAAACAAGTTCCAGTCATCGTTGTGAATGCAACAGGACCCTAGCTGTCATGTCGCCACGATGCTTCCTGTTTCATCGCTCAGTTGACGAGCCCCGGATTCATAAATCTTGTGCCGTGGGTGTGTGACTAGACTCTGATGCCAGTTGCCGTGTTCCTGGCGAGGTCTGCAGCTTCCTTCATCGTGTCATGAATAGTTTTCATCATTTCCTTTACTGAAAAGGAAAGAAAGGAAGGTGACAATTCTGAATAATGTTTCCAAATAACATTTAATATTCAGCTACGGTAATAACACACCCTGCACGTGCATGCAAAAATTACAACCATTTTACAATATTTATTTTAATTTGTTTTGTGCATGACTCTCATGCTCTGGTGGCTATAGCCGCAAATTTTGGGGAGCCATCAAAATGCGGCTGCCAAGTTTCAAAAGTAACTTTTGATATCTATATTAATTTGTCACCCATCATCCGATTTCAAAGAGCAGTGCACTGCATTTGAATGGTTTTAATGCTTATGGTGGTGATCTGTGGATAGAATGGAACATACATTATGAATATAAATTAAGTTTATATTCTGGTACACTGTTGCACCATATGGCCGGCTTGCCAGTAGCTCATTGATTTCAGCAAAAACTTCTTTACACATGCCTTCCAAAAATGATTCGCTGAATTTTTTTTCTGTGGCAGGCAATAGACATCTAATCTTCCCCATTGCCTGAACAGTAGCTTAAAAACTTACACTGGCTGTCAAGTTCAAAGTACTTGTATTAATTTACAAAGCCCTTAACAACTTGAGTCCAAGATACCTTAAGACTACTTGAAGTTGCAGATTGGGGTTTACTTATAGGGCAAGGTTGGCAAGCCCCAGCAGCCCATTACTATCCCACACAACCTAACAAGATAGTGCTCTGGGCACCTCATCAATACCTGTGCCAATAGCAGCGTCAAGCCCAACACAAATACAATTGACCCACAAAGTGCCTAGCAAACTTGTCACCACAGACATTCCATTAAACCCACTCCCAACATCCTATTTTAAAAGCCCGTTCACCATCCTGGACAACTACATTAGATGGTGACTCAAGGCTGTCTTGAGGGTGGAAAAGTGAGTCTTCTGTGCCTCTATCACTGCTACAAAGCAGACGTAATAATGTGCTGTTCCTTGTGTTTCTCATGAGACTTGTGCCACTCAGCTATCATTCAGTCTATTTCATGGTCTATAGTCCCCTGGAAAGCAGGCCCCACCCTGCCAGAAAGGGCACTTAGAAGCAATTGTGTTATCAGCCATTTTTATCTACCCATTTCATAGGGAGATCAGGATCTCAACAGGAGCACTAGCCATGTCAGTCAGAAATCCACCCACCCATTCTCAGCTCAGCTGGTTAGGGCATGGTGCTGATAATGCCAAGGTCGCGGGTTCAAGCCCCATATGGGACAGCTCCATATTCCTGCATGGAAGGGGTTGGACTAGATGATCCTCAGGGCCCCTTCTAACTCTGATTCTGTGATTCTCTTACTTTAAATGACTCAAGCCTCGAGACCACCGCCAGCTGGTCCATTAAGGAGAATAGGGCATTGCTCTTCCAGTCTTACGACCTATCATTCCCTAAGGACAGCAGCTACTACTGCCCACTACAAATTTGTAATGATCAGGATAACACCAAAATCAATTTGGAATCAACCCAAGTGACTTCTTTATAACATAAGCAACTGCTCTTGGCCCAGAGGTCTCATCTGTCCCTCGAGGCAAGCTTTTCTTCCCCTCCCCAGACCCCACCAAGAAAGAATGCCAGAGTGAGCAAAGAGAAGGGTGCAATTTCCCCCCTTTTCAGTCATCAGATCAGCCGCAAGCTACTCAGTGATTTTCCAATGGAATAAGGAAGAAGGCACTAATAAATTCTGGCTGCGAGTTCCTGGGCCTGTCAATGTTCTCCATTTCGACTTTTACAATGCAACGTGTTTATTAGGAAGAAAACATTTTCATTTGCTATGCTGGAGAATTACAAATATTTGCTACTAATATGCCCAGGCTCTTTGAGTTATTAAGCAGAGGATAATGAACCCCTTGCATAAAATAACCAGAATGTGATCTATGCCTGCAGAGGCAGCAAAGAAAGAAATACATTAGCAAATACAATAAATTAATGTAATGCAAAACAGTCTTAGTTCCAGTAGACAATAACTTATAATTGCATTGGTTTTATTAAGCAATCCTCCCCAAATATCTGGTGTTTCTGTACGGGAGCAGCATGACAATTATTACATTATACAAGACTCTGCCCCCTCAGCATCTTAGAATTCGGCCTGGTGTGTGTGTGTTTGTGTTTTTTAATGACCCAAATTACATCAGTAGAGAACAGATTGCAAATTGGGTAGTCAACTTGATGCATGTAAATCATCACAGCAACTATGGGATTATTTCATGTGCAGATGCAGTGTGTGACATCGTAGTCCTACCCCACCCTTCCAGAGATCTTGAAGGTCTTGTCACTCAAATCAAGGCTAAAGTGCAACAGGAAACCCTCTTTCTGATTGGACACTCTGGTCATGGCAAACCAGATGGGTGCAGCTACCAGAGCTTTCAGAGACAGTGGTGGACTTGGGTACCATGGAGCCCTGTGCAAGGCCAAAAGATCCCCATGGTCAACTGGGGTGGGCAGGGTCAGTCTAGGGCCTGAAGACAAAGGCTGCAATGTGCGGTTCCATGGTTCACCACATGGGGCAGGCATGCCCAAACCTAAAGGCTCCAAGTTTGAGCCATAGTAGTTCCTCACAGCAGCTCAGGTCAGTGGTCGGCAGAACAGCTTGCTCACGACACAGACACACACCTGTGTGTACTACAGTTTAAGGGACGTGGGTGGCGCTGTGGTCTAAACCAAGGAGTCTCTTGGGCTTGCCGATCAGAAGGTCAGCGGTTCGAATCCCCGCGACGGAGTGAGCTCCCATTGCTCTGTCCCAGTTCCTGCCCACCTAGCAGTTCAAAAGCACGCCAGTACAAGTAGATAAATAGGTACCGCTGCGGCAGGAAGGTAAACGGTGTTTCCGTGCACTCTGGTTTCCGTCGTGTGTTCAGTTGCACCAGAAGCGGTTCAGTCATGCTGGCCACATGACCGGGAAAGCTGTCTGTGGACAAACGCTGGCTCCCTCGGACTGAAAGTGAGATGTGTGCCCCAACCCTGTAGTTGCCTTTGACTGGACTTAACCATCCAGGGGTCCTTTACCTTCACCTTACCTTCCAAAGCAGGGGGGGGTGTAATTGGTATGTGAATTTCGAAGAATGGCTGTATTTCTGCTTGTGTATTGTTTCAGAAAGTATGGATTGGGTAGATTCACATTTACATGTGAACCGAGTGACACAAAAAGGAGTTCCTTGATCAACAGAAGCATCACCTCTTTTAAACCTTTTGTTGACTTTTCACCCTCCTGCTCACTAAACGAATTGTAGGAAGATGCACTGTCTCATACAGAAGGTCATCTAGTAAGGAACAAGCTTCCTGCCAATAATGTATAATTTCGAAATAGGATCCTGGCTTGGTACTACAGGGTTTCCCCCAACCAAAGTGAGGAAACTGCTGTATAATCTGATCAAGAGATAGCTGGAGAGAAAGCCATCAACAGGAGACAGGAAAAGGGTATCTAGATGGATAGCTCTAAACGCCGGTCAAAGGAAGGACGCTGGGAGACTTTGTTTCAGTTCTACATGCTCTTCCTAAAGGGGAAGGGAAGAAATTTTATTTGCCACCACAGGCACATGATGTTGGCAGGTGCTGCAGGGAGGGCCGAAATGATGGACACAGGACACTGATATTGGGATGAATTAGGCCACAACTTTATTGATTACAGGTAAGTATAGATTTGGTTAAGGAACTGGGCATGTACAGTATCCAGCATGATCACTGCAGATGGTGACAGCAGTCACGAAATTAAAACCCGCCTGCTTCTTGGGAGAAAAGCAATGATAAAACCTAGACAGCATCCTAAAAAGCAGAGACATCACCTTGCCAACAAAGATCCATATAGTTAAAGCTATGGTTTTCCCAGTGGTGATGTATGGAAGTGAGAGCTGGACCATAAAGAAGGCTGATCGCCGAAGAATTGATGCTTTTGAATTCTGGTGCTGGAGGAGACTCTTGAGAGTCCCATGGACTGCAAGAAGATCAAACCTATCCATTCTTAAGGAAATCAGCCCTGAGTGCTCACTAGAAGGACAGATCGTGAAGCTGAGGCTCCAATACTTTGGCCACCTCATGAGAAGAGAAGACTCCCTGGAAAAGACCCTGATGTTGGGAAAGATGGAGGGCACAAGGAGAAGTGGACGACAGAGGACGAGATGGTTGGACAGTGTTGTCAAAGCTACCAGCATGAGTTTGACCAAAGTGCGGGAGGCAGTGGAAGACAGGAGTGCCTGGCGTTCTCTGGTCCATGGGGTCACGAAGAGTCGGACACGACTAAACAACAACAACAAAGTATCCAGCATCAGGCAACCCACATGCTGTTTGATAGAAACCCAGTGGGGCCGACCCCTTTCTGCACAGGCTGCCATTGGGAGAAGTGTATTGGCCCATCGGTCTGCATGTAGACAGAGCCACGCCTCCTAGATGCCTCTAATGGGGTACCGCTGTGACTAAGGATCCAACCCAATGCCTTATCTGCTGAAGTTGTGACAGTTGCTATGAGGTAGGCGAAAACCTGCAAGCCAGCCAATTTGCTTCCTAGAGAAAATTCATCCCTGGCCCCAATTACGGTGAGTGCGTAAACCATAGCAAGGTCCATACGCAAACTCACCTGCTCCCCCAGTGGATCTTCCCCTAATGGACTGGGTGGGCAAGTGAAAAAAACCCCACGTCGGTCAGGAAAGAGGGCAGCCTACACATAGGCATCCCCATAAATACACCGGTGTGTGTGTGTGATTCTATTCATGTTCCTATTTTGAGCCTCCTTGCTGCCTCCTGATTTAACCTTGGGCAGTAGGAAATATATAAGGCCAGCTGCCCATGTCTTTACTTACTTAACCTTGCATTACCCGCCAGCCTTCCCTTTAAATAAAAATCAATAGTGGGAACTACCGTATTTTTCGCTCTATAACACGCACCCGACATAACACGCACATAGTTTTTAGAGGAGGAAAATCTGTAGGAATGCCACCCGTAGGCATTTCCTCCATAACACGCACAGACATTTTCCCTTACTTTCTAGGAGGAAAAAAGTGAGTGTTATGGTGCAAAAAATACGGTAAGTGGTTACCTTTTGGCTTTAAACTGAGAACCATCCCCTCACCAGAGAACTCCTACTTCTTCAAAATCTCCAGGGGAGTGGAGGCTATGGCTAGTGAATTGGCTCACACGCAGCAAAAAGCAAATAAACAAACCACCGAACTGTCAAATCCTTTCTGTAGTGCTTTGCTGTAAACTGTTCTCACTAGTCATCCTAACTATCCCATGAGGTAAGCTAAGGGTGTTTTGTCCCATGATCCTCCATTCTGGAGCAGCAGGTAGTATTGAAAGCATGAAACTTCTGTCAAAGGCAGAAGAGATGTATATTACCCATCTTACTTTTGTGGTTTTATGTTGTTTTAAACTGTTTTTTAATATTGTGTAAGTGTGTGTGTGTGTGTGTGTGTGTGTGTGTGTGTGTTTAAATTGTTGTAACCAGCCCAAGACCTTAAAAGAATGGCCAGTCCTCTTGCCCAGTCATGATTGTCCAATTGAGTGAGTGGGCAGGATAATAATATAATAATAATATAATTTATTATTTATACTCCACCCATCTATCTGAGTTTCCCCAGCCATTCTGGGCAGCTCCCAACAGAATATTAAAAACACAATAAAACATCAAACATTAAAAACTTCCCTAAGCAGGGCTGCCTTCAGATGTCTTCTAAAAGTCAGAGAGTTGTTTATTTCCTTGACATCTGACAGGAGGGCGTTCCACAGGGCGGGCGCCACCACCGAGAAGGCCCTCTGCCTGGTTCCCTGTAACATCACTTCTCGCAGTGAGGGAACCACCAGAAGGCCCTTGGAGCTGGACTTCAGTGGCTGGGCTGAATGATGGGGTGGAGACGCTTCTTCAGGTATACTGGGCTGAGGCCATTGAGGGCTTTAAAGGTCAGCACCAAAACTTTGAATTGTGCTCAGAAATGTACTGGGAGGCAATGTAGGTCTTTCAGGACCAGTGTTATATGGTCTCAGCAGCCATTCCCAGTCACCAGCCAAGCTGCCACATTCTGGATTAGTTGTAGGATCTGCTTTCCAGGCAGCAAGCTTGGCCCAAGGATCTCCTTTGCTGCCCTGGAAGCAGCCAAAGGGTCCTCCCTCAATGTACTGTGGAGGGCAGAGGGAGAGCTCACCTGCAATGGTGCCCACCAAGGGGTGTGAGTGAATTTTTCAGAGAACAGCCCACTGTTTGAAGTTGTGCTCTACCTGAAGGGCTGCCCAC